AATTCTAGAGATCTGCTGCACAGCGTAGTGCCTGTAGTTAGCATTACAATATTGTATACTTGAAAATTTGTCAGGAGAGCAGATCTCTTATTAAGTGTTCTTACCACAATAAAATAAAAATAAGGACAATATAGTGGGTTTTCTGTAAAGCTAAATTTGTTCTGAATTTCTGCCCGTTCTAGTTTTTGTTATTAAAATGCTAAGAAATAAAGGTACCAGGCAATGATTTTTCTTTTGTTCTTTAAAAACAATATTACTTAGCAAAATAAAAAGTAAGAAATCCTGAAAGAAAAAGTCTCTCCTTTTTTTTTGAAAGACATACACTTTTGGTATCAGAAAATGTAGATGAGGCAGGATTCAGTGTGACCTAGTAGCCAAGAGAGTAGACTCCATAGTGGACACTCTTCTCCAACTCCCACCCCACCTCTTACAATTATTGAGTGAGTGAAAGTGGCTCAATTGAGCCTGACTCTTTGCGACCCCATGGACTGACTATACAGTCCATGGAATTCTCCAGGCTAGAAGACCAGAGTGGGTAACCTTTCCCGTTTCTAGGGGATCATCCCAACTGAGGGATCGAACCCAGGTCTCCTGCATTGCAGGCGGATTCTTTACCAGCTGAGCCACCAGGGAACCTTGGGAAATTGCTCTGGTGCCCTGGTAAATGGGGGTTGTTTCGAGGATTCAGTGGGTTTATCCATGTCAGAAGCAGAGAAAATGGACCAACTTTAGACATAGTAGCCATGATGGATGTCATGTGACATCTCCACGGGAGAAGGTAACATCTCCTGATGGAAAATGGAGCCATAGAGCTTAATTATACTCATCAGTCAAAAGTCCTTGTATCTGTTTTAGTTTGCTTTTTGCTGCCGTAACAAATGACCACAACTTTACTGACTGAGAGGAATGCAAATCTATTTTCTTAGACTCTAGGTTGGATGTCCAGTGCTAAATCAAGTTGTCAGCAGGATTGCATTCCTTTCTGGAGGTTCCAGGGGAGAATCCACTTCCTGCTCATTCAGGTTGTTGACAGAATTCAGTTTCTTGGCGGTTATAGGACCAAGGTCTGCTTTACTGGCTGTCAGCTGAGGGCAGTTCCCAGCCTCTAGAGGCTGCAGCATTCCTTGTCTCCCAGCTCTCTTCCTCCGTCTTCAAAACCAGCTTCTGCAGATGAGCCCTGTTCACATCCAATTTTTTTGACCCTGTCTTCTGTTCTCTTACGCTATAGGAACCCATGTGATTCAATTGGGCCAACCCAGATAATCCAAGATAATCTCCCTATCGTAAGGTCAGCTGGTTTGCAACCTTAACTCCAGTGCCACTGTAATTCTCCTTTGCCATGTACAGTAGCATAGTCACAGTTTCCAGGATTAGGATGCAAACACCTCTGGGGGGCCTTTATTCTGCCTACCACATCCAGTGAACTGGAATTTCATTGGGGTTTTGACAGGTCATTTTTCCTTACCTTCTATTTCCTCATTTAAAAAGTTAAGTGACCTACCACATAGGATATGTGACATTTATGGAGTACTTGCTGGGAGCTTGGCCCTCGGTGTTAAACTCTTTGCTCAGGAAGAGTCTGTGAAGCAGGTTCTATTATTTGTTGTTCAGTCACTCAGTCATGTCCGACTCTTTGTGACCCAATGGACTGCAGCATGCCAGGCTTCCCTGTCCTTCCCCACCTTCCAGAGTTTGCTCAAACTCATGTCCATTGAATTAGTGATGCCATCTAACGATCTTATCCTTTGTCATCTCCTTCTCCTTTAGCCTTCAATCTTTCCCAGCATTGGAGTCTTTTCCATTGAGTCAGCTTTGCATCAGGTGGCCAACATATTGGAGCTTTGGCTTCAGCATCCATCTTTGCAATGAGTATTCAGGATTGATTTCCTTTAGGATTGAACTGGTTTGATCACCTTGCTGGCCAAGGTGATCAAAAGTCTTCTCCAGCACCACAGTTCAAAAGCATCAATTCTTTGGCACTCAGCATTGTTGATGGTCCAACTCTCACATCCATACATGATTTCTGGAAAAACCATAACTTTGATTATATGGACCTTTGTTAGCAAAGTCATGTCTCTGCTTTTAATATGCTCTCTAGGTTTGTTATAGCTTTTCTTCCAAGAAGCAAGCATCTTTTAATTTCATGGCTTCAGTCACTCTCTGCAGTGATTTTGGAGCCCAAGAAAACAAAGTCTGCCACTGTTTCCCCATCTATTTGCCATGAAATGATGCGACCAGGTGCCATGATCTTAGTTTTTTGAACATTGAGTTTTAAGCCAGCTATTATTATCCCCATGTTATAACTGAGGAAACTGCATTTTGGAGAAGTTAAGTAATTGATCAAAATGATTCAGCTAGTGAAGGTCTCAGACATTTCAGTGGGTTAATATACCTTAAAGGTTTAGCTTCAAATGCCCCTTCATATGGTAATTCATATTAATTAGAAATAAATATTTTGATTAATTGCTGTAGCCCTTTGCAAATATGGCAGACACCAGCTATGGACTACATGAAGTGTAGCTGATCTGCACTGATGTGTGCTATAAGGGCAAATTCACACCAAATTTAGAAGACATGGTCTAAATTAAAAAGATTGTAAACTATCTCAGGATTTTAATATTGATTGATGTTATATTGATTACATGTTGCAATAATAGTATAATATTTTTTGATGTGTTGGGTTAAAATGCATTACTCACTTAAAAAGAACAGTGAAACCCAATATGTATTAAAATTAGATTATAAGGAAAATGGTTGCATTGTAAAATATTTTAAATAAAACTGTCTGGAGATGCAAAAAAAGATTGATTTCTGGCTTGTGCTAAGTCACAAACTGTCTTTTGAAGTCAGAATATTGTTTTTGCTGAAATCATGATGATTTCTGCCAAGAGAAATCTGATTCGTAATAGCGTGGATGGGCTCACTATTTCATTAGTGAGATATTTGACTGTCATGTTTTATTATACTATAAGTAATACATAATCAAACAAGAAAAATTTCCTAGAAACAGAGTTGTTTTCTTCAACCAGAAGAATGTTTTTATGTGCTCAGTTTTTTAATGTCCAAAAGATTTAAAAGCTTATGAACTTAGCAGTTTATATTTTTGAGATCGAGTTTCTGGCAAATACCCATAGTAGAATATATAAGATATCACTAAAAGTACTTGGCAAGCATTATGTTAAGGTAATTCAGACATGAAATACATTTAACTAGGTAGAGAACCACATGATTTTTATGGCACACCCAGTTGTTGGACATGGTTATCTCACTTATCTTCATAAGCTTGTTTTTATCTCTTCATTAATTACATGCCCAAACTTTTTTTTAAACACTCATCAGATTTCTAGGTTCTGCCTCATTCCATTTGTTTATTCAACAAATGTTTGAATGCTCTGTGCTAAGAGGTCCTAGGGATGTTGTGCCCTTGTGAAACATATATTAGTGAAGGATTCAAACATGAATGAAAGAATTCCACAAATCAGGAAGTGCATGGGTGCTATGAATGTGAATAAAGATTCTCATCTGAACAGAAGGGCAGAGGACAGAGGAAAGCCTTGATCTAAAGGATCAGTAGCATTTAGCCAGGCAGAAATTGGGAGTGACCAGTCTAGGTCAAGGGATTTGTTTTGCAAAGGTCTTATCCCAGGAAGGAGCTTGGCAAGTTGGAAGAGTGACAGCAAGAAGGCCTCTGGTGTATGCGTGACAGTGTGAGAAAGAGGCTCTGGAGGAATAGAGTAAGGCACATAGGCACTGAGTCCTGTAGATTCAGAGCAGCAAGTGGACCTGGATATTGTATGATGATCCACCAAGCAATACATCTTGCTTTATTTGCTAGAACTCCATCATCAAGTGGTTGTGGTCTGTAGATACAGTGGTCATATAATTTGTCATCCAAAACAGGATACCCTTGAGAGTGAAAGGGGACACATATTAATTATACTGAAACAGCAGGTATAAACTAGTATGGATAACTTGAGCAAAGCAGAATGTATGATCACTGTGCTTAGAGACAGGTTCTTAGCCCATACAGTAAGCCTGACATTGCTTAGAAATAGAAGTAATGCTAGAAACCATGCTCTGAAATTATAGGGTTAGGCGTTTGTTCCAGCTTTTTCACTTTCCCCCTCCTTCACTCATGGGTAACTCTGAGAGAAGGCCACTAGGAGAACCTGCACCAAGTCGCCCACAGAATCACAGCCCTATTTTCACCCAAATGCAGCCTAGTGTTTTTCAGATTGCCACTCATGGGAGCTCAGTTCCTTGATGTACATCAGGTCTTATTAATGTGTTTTCAGAATTACAGTCTTAAGAACATATGGGAAAGAAAGTAAGGTCTTAAACATGTAGCCCGTGAATTTTTCCCTCTAGAACCTTTCCTTCATCACTTCTCATGGATGACATGACCTAATTATATGTTCTCAGATGACAGCCAGGCGGGATGGGTGTGGTCTGATTATAACCTCTTTCAGAATAAACATGTTTTGTGATTTGACCCCTACAGTGAATGATATACAGAGTAGAGTACCTACAGGAAGTATTACCATATGTGTAAACCCTTTTTTTTTAATGTTCATATATCATAGTGACTGTTCTTTTTTTTCTCTAAATTTTATTGCAGTTTAGTTGATTTGCAATATTGTGTTAGTTTCAGGTATATAGCAAAGTGATTCAGTAACCTTCTTTAACAAGGACAATAACATGAAGTAGTGAAGAAATCTTTTCACTGTTGATTGGATGTTTTATCCAATCAGCTGTTGGCCAAATCTGTGTAGTGAGGATTAATGGAGTTTTATTTCCTCCTCTCCTCTGGGCCTGAGTCAGTTTCTACAACAGGGCCCTCAGGGAGCCCTAGTAATTCCTTTAGTTTCTGGAGACATGGGTCACTTTGCATCAGATAATAAATAGTGAAGATGTGCACTTTGAAACAGTGCACTGTTTCTTTAGAAGTTTTACTATTTCTTTTCAAACTGCATTAATATTCTTACTTTCTGTTTTACAAGTCAGGAAATGTGAAGAACTCACCTGGAAATAAGTAGAATACTCCATGCTCTGCCCATTTTAATCAGGTAAAGAACAAAAAAACTTTGTGGTTATTTTTAGCATTATTAGCACCAATTGAAATGACTTGTCTTTAATTAATTAAATTAATTATAGCTGTTTAAACTTTGTGTGGTGGAAACATAAGGGCCAGGATGATATTTCATTTCATCTTTAATTTCTAGGCTTAAGTGCTATGACTTCTTTAATTGTGTTTGTTCCTGAGAAGTACCTGGGTTTTTTAGACAAGCTAGAACTCGACAGTTGGATTTGTCTACAAACCTATTTCAGACAATCATTTCTTAAGCTTACTTTTTTCAGACAGCATTTCACTATAGTCAGCACACTTGTATTCACCTAATAATCATTCAATAAACATTTGCTGAATGCATGACTTTGGTAGAGACGCTCAAGATTATATAGAATAAGTGACATAGGGAATTCACAGGTGTAATTTTCTTTCTTTAAAGATTGAGTAACTTGAGACTGGGCTTCCCAGGTGGCTCAGTGGTAAAGAATACACCTGCCAATGCAGAAGATGCAGGAGACATGGGTTCAGACCCTGGGTTGGGAAGATCCCCTGGAGGAGGAAATGGCAACCCACTCCAATATTCTTCCCTGGAAATCCCATGGACAGAGGAGCCTGTGGGGCTACAGTCCATAGGGTTGCAAAGAGTTGGACATGACTGAATCAACTTAGCACACACACATATGCACAATTATCAAATGAAAAAAAGAAACTAGTATAATACATTTTTAGAGAGGATAATTACCAGAAAATACAAAAAAAAATTTAAGTATGTATCTTCAGATAGTAGGATTATAGATGATTTTTATACTTTTTCTTCTATATACCTTTATGTATTTTTAAATTTTTTCAATGAATATGAATTTTCTTTTATAATAGAAATTTGTTTTAAAAAAATCAGTGTTACATTTATTGTAAGTCATGGCTACTATTTAAAACTCATGAAAGGTCTGGGTTTGAGGTTTTTCTTTCTCACGTTGTCCCCATATTTTTGGAGACCCAGAGAGTCATATAATCTTAGAATTTGAAAAGAAGTATTTGGTATAACCCCCAGCCTCAAGCAAAATTCTCTGTGGCCCCGTGTGTTCCCATTTTTTACCTCCACTGATAGGAAAAGCACCCCACAGGGCAGCCATCTTTGGGCAGTTCTAATTTTTAGGAAGCTGTTTCTTTTACTAAACAAAAATATGTCTCCTTATAACTCCTACACAGTGGTCTGATCTTGCTTTAACGGTCACAGAAAATAAATTCAGATCCTCTTTCACATCCTAGCCCTTCACATAGAAACCCTAAGTCAGCATTTCTCACATTTTGTGATACAGATTACCTGGGAGATTGTTGAAAAGCAGAGGCTTAAGCCCCACCCCAGAATTGGCATCTTTGGGGAGTAGGGCCAGATGTGTATCTGGGTGACTAGTGGGTAAGCAGCCAAGAAGTCACACATGTTTGTCAGAGACTTGACACTGGATATGATTATATTTCTCTCTAGGGACAATGAGTCACAGAATATAGGGAAGCTGTGTACATATTCCTTTCATTTTTTCAAAAATGTTCTGTGCCAGAGTTCAGCTTATTGTATATACAACCTTGATTTCATTTTTTAAGTTGTTTATTGGAAATGTAGTTTTTAATTATAAAAATGATGCATATTTGCTGTAAAGAATTGTTTTTAGATAAATGTTTTGAAAGCTTGTTTTGTCTTCCATTCCTTTCCCAGAGGTAATTCCTATTAATAGTTTGGTATATTATTCCATACTTTTTTCTCTATGTGTAACACACGCACACACACACACACACATCCAAATGTGCTTTTGGGTTTTTGATAGAAAGAGATCATATTCCTTGTACTGTTTTGCAAGTACACCGAAAGCTCCATGCAGGCACGTATTGCAATTTTATTATCACACCTAGAGAAATTAACACTAATTCCTTAATACCATTTAATATTGAGTATGCAGATTCCCCTGATCATCTCATTAATAACTTTTTACAGTTGTTTTGGTTGTTTGAGTCAAGATCATAACAAGATCTGCCCATTGCATTTGACTGATGAGTCTCTTAAGTCTCTTTCATTTTTTTTTTACAAAGATATAAACTATGTTTTCAGATATCTTAAGTCCCTCTTAAGCTGTAATAGTTCCTTCTCCCTCCTTTTTCTCTTACCATTTATTTGTTGAAAAACTGGGCTTATTCGTCTTTTAGAAATTTCCCATGTTCTGGCAGTGGCTTGAGTGTATCCATTTAGTGTCATTCTGTTTTATCTCTTGGTTCCTGTCCTCTCTGCATTTCCCATAAACTGACTGTTGGATTTGAAGGCTTAATCAGATTTAGGTTCAATTTTTTGGTAAGAATACTTTGTAGACACTGCTATGTTTAGTTATGCTGAATGAATTAACTTGCTTTTTTGAAATTAATTGTTACTGGAGTATAGTTGCTCTCCAGTGTTGCCTTAGTTTCTGCTGTACAGCATAGTGAATCAGCTATCAATGACAGGGCTTCCCTGGTAGCCCAGATGGTAAAGAATCTGCTTGCAGTGCAGGAGACCCAGGTTCGATCCCTAGGTCAGGAAGATCTCCTGGAGAAGGGAATGGCAACCCACTCCAGTATTCTTGCCTGGAGGTCACCACAGAGCATTGAGTAGAGTTCTCTGTGCTATACAGTAGGTTCTCATTAGTTATCTATTTTAGACAATAAATTGCTTTTTTTTGGTCACTGAATATATTGTGTACATCTTTCCCTGTTGGTACTTATTCCTCCTTTAGCTGCTTAATAATTTCCTAGTATGGACTGCCATGATCTATTAAAACATTATTGATATAGATTGTTGGTAGTTTGAAGTTTTTGTTTTTTTTTAACAATGCAGTAAATCTATTGAATTCTTAGAGAAGTTCAAAACATATTAATAAACTGAGATAGAAAAGGTAAACTAGTAGTTTACATGTTTAAAAATGTTTAGTTTTATTTTAAAAGATCAAGGAAGTAGTCACTGGCCTCTAAAATTTTTGTAAATCTCTAATTGCTAAGTAGATTCATTACATATTAGGAGAAAGGCAATCTGAAGGAGAGTTGGCTTGTCTTTGCTGTACCTTTGGATTTGATTTGTGTTTCATTCCAGAAAAGAATGATGGGGTCATGTGAGGAAAGGTGTCTGTAGTGCTAGCTGTGATATCATCACGCTCTCCCCCAGCAGACGGATGGAAATATGGTTGTTTGATTTTCAGAAGGGGAGGAATGTAGTGTGTGCTGTACCATTTAAGCATTTATTTTTAGTTTATTCACCCATCCATCTGGTTAATTTATCTCAGATACACAGCCCGTCAAGAATCTGCATATAGTATTGGAAATAAAAGGTAAACGAAAATCCTTTCTGGTTTTTAGTGTACTCATTTATAAAATGGAAATAATTACAGTTTTCACCAGCTCATTGTGATGTCATGTAATGGTAATATGTGTATTTGATGTGACTTTCTCTATTTAAACCTGAGAAGTTTTAAAAATGCAAACTCTTAGAGCTGTTTTTATCTGGGAGGACACTGTATTTATGTTTTTATTTTTCTTTTAATTATAGGTAAACATTGGAAACTCCATATGGTAAACCAGTATTTCTACAGAAAAATGGCAGAGAAGTCAGTATTGAATGTAGTAAATTGGCATTCTTCTGGAAAAACTACCCTAGGCCTCTTTGTTATCTTGGGTGATGCCATACTCCAAGTGGACTAATCTGAAATTCTTCCACCTAGAGATAATGTATAAGCCTTAGAACTCCTCGTTCTCATGTTGCTATTTATGTACATAATTAAAGATCTAAGTTAAAAAAATTGTCCTTTTTTTTCCCTGATATTATTAGAGTGACAGTTTAAGTGTACCTGATGTCCCTTCCCTGTGTGTATATATGGTATGTGTCTGAGTGTACAGGTATGTGTGTGCATGTTATATGTGTGTGTGTGTGTTAAGGAAAACCACCCACTCTTCTTAGCATCAGCTGGCAGTCTCCAAAGGTTGCATTAAGAAGAGTGGCTCTAGGGGACATAGGTTCGATCCCTGTTCAGGGAACTAAGATCCCACATGTTGTGGAGCAACTCAGCCTGTGAGCAACAACCATAGAGCCCATGCGCTCTGGAGCCTGAGCCTGTTCAACACAACTAGTGAGAAGCCCAAGCACCATGAAGAGCCTGCATGCCACAGCTACGACCCAGTGCGGTCAAAACTAGGTAACAAACATTTTTTTTTTTTAAATAAAAAAAGAAGAGTGGCTCTGAAGCTGATACATCATGCTTCTATCGCCAGCCCAAGGAACAAAACTTGTAAGTAATAGTTTGCCTAACTAATGAGAAGACATGCAAAAGAAAACAATGACCATGACCCCTTGTTTTGTGCCATTGCCTCCCAGCGTGTATAGATCTTCCAGTTCTTGACTCCCAGTGGGAGACGTGTAATGCAGTAATCTCTGTCCTCTGCCGGTGGAGGAATGGTGTGTGGTTGTGTGTGTTGGTTCTCTGTATGTAGGCCTTGTGTTTGCCTTTGTGACCTCTTAATGCACAGCTCGTTGAACTCCATCTTCCTAGTGCTGGCGGGAATGGCAGGAGTCTCTTTGGACTTGTCAGCCAGCCAGGAAGGATGGCGGGGGAAACTATATGAAGGAGAATTGAGACTTTCCAAATTTCAATCAGACTTAAAAATTACAAGTCACCTTTGTATTCTTGCAGCATCAAGCTAATTCCTAAATTGTTGATCTTCAAGAACTGATAGCTGGTAAGATAGCAATACACAAATGGAACATGCACATGTTAATGTTAAATACAATCAATAGAACCAAGATGCCAGGAATGGTGCCAGCATTGCTACTGGATTAATGAGCCAAAGCATACTTGTCTCTAGAATAATCCCCCAAGTGACCCAGAAATCTTTTATTTCCTTTTATACTGAAATACATTTGTCTTACCATATCAATCAACCAAATATATTAAAGCTATGCCTAAATTGTCTCATTATAAACATACTATTTCAGGATTTTCCCATTGTCTTGGCTTCATACATCACCTCCAGAAAGTAGAGAATCCACAGGTTTCCTTGTTCTTGATATAGAGAAGATGAAGGGGTGGCCCCTACCACAGTGTGCTTGGGAGATCTTCAATCAGAATGTGTTTCGGTGCCTCCTAACTGGAAGGTATTTACTTCCGTTTTGAACACTTTGATCCCATTGAAACATTACTTTGAAACTTATTAACTCCTCCAAGGAGTGGAGGATGGAAGTAGGTCTCATAGAGCCAGTGCCTAGTAGTTTCTGGTCCATATTTAGGATAACAAGGGAATCACCTCTCACCCATGGTAACTCAGTTGCTTTTATACTATCATCTTTTCCTTTCATGGTTGTTTGGATTTAATGCTGCCTTTGTTTGTATTTAATAATTTTTACCTGCCTTTCATGAACTTTGAACTATAGGGTATATAAAATTTGCGTATTATAATATGCTGTATTTGCCTAGCTCTTAATACTCTTATAGTGGGCATCCCAGGTGGTGCTAGTGGTAAAGAACCTGCCTGCCAATGCAGGAGATGTAAGAGGCATGGGTTCAATCCCTGGGTCAGGAAGATCCCCTGGAGGGCATGGCAACCCACTCCAGTATTCTTGCCTGGAGAATCCCATGGAAAGAGAAGCCTGGTAGGCTATAGTCCATGGGGTCACAAAGAGTTGGACATGACTGAGTGACTAACACTTTAACTTCACTTTATACTTTTCAGAGTACCATTTTGTATCTTTCCTTTTTGGCTTATTTCCTTACCTCAGTGCATTTGTACTCTGTTTTTTTTATCCTGAGTTAATATTCTCTATTTACAGTTACACTTTTTATTCTGTTTCTTATAACCCTTTTTTTCTTATAATAAGACTGACTCTTGTGGTTAAGACTTCATGCCTCTACTGCAGTGGGTGCAGGTCCAATCCCTATTCAGGGTACTAAGATCCCACATGCTGCTCAGCATGGCCAAAAAAAAAAAAAAAAAAAACACACAAGACTGACTCTCAATGCAATTTATCTGTAACTTAGTCAGGGTAGTTCTGTTGGATAACCTTAATGCTTTGGAGGAAGCTTCTTTACCATACCATGTGACCTAAGCTTCTCTGAAGAGATAAATGTGGCATGCTCTGTTCTGTGATAATATGTCCTGAGAAAGATTGCTGTGTCAAAAGTCAAGATTTAAAAGCAGTTTCAGTGGGGGGAAAAAAGAGACTAGTGATACTAGAGGATGCCTTCATCAGTCTTATCACCTGTGTCACACCTTGGGACAAAGTTACAGTAATAGTAGGAGAAGAATCGAGGCCAGCTGAGAGACCACCCACCCGGGCTGTGGAGTAGCAGGTGCCTGGGCCGCTGGGTCAGCAGCTTTTGTGCTAAGTGCGGGGCTGGATTCCAGCCCAGTGGTGGCCCACGTGATGCAAATGGATCAGTGGCATTCCCTAATGGATCAGTGGCATTATATCTAAATGGCCCAAAGAAAATTCAAAATGTATGTATAATGCCTGTGTTCACATATAAAAATAGAAAAATGCAACTTAACTTGTGGTTAAATGGCAAATCTGTGACATCATGTCACTTTGCCAACAAAGGTCCACATAGTCAAAGCTATAGTCTTTCCAGTAGTCGAGTATGGATGTGAGAGTTGATCCATAAAGAAGGCTGAGCACTGAAGCATTGCTGCTTTTGAATTGTGATGCTGGAGAAGACTCTTGAGAGTCCCTTGGACAACAAGATCAAACCAGTCAATCCTAAAGGAAATCAACCCTGAATATTAACTGGAAGGACTGAAGCTGAAGCTCCAGTACTTTGGCCACCTGAAGAGTCGACTCATTGGAAAAGACCCTGATGCTTGGCAAGATGGAAGGCAAAAGGAGAAGGGGGTGGCAGAGGATGAGATGGTTAGATAGCATTACCTACTCAATCGACATGGATTTGAGCAAACTCTGGGAGATAGTGGAGGGCAGAGTAGCCTGGCGTGCTGCAGTCTGTGGGGTTGCAGAGTTGGACACAACTTAGTAGCTATACAACAACAACAAAAATGACAGTTAAAATGAGGCCAAGTAATGAGTAATAATGATTTTCATTAGTTTAAAAATAAAATTCTGGGACTTTCGTGGTAGTCCAGTGGCTAAGACTCTGCACTCCCAATGCAGGGGGCCTGGGTTCAATCCCTGGTCAGGGAACTAGATCCCACATGCCACAACTAAGACCCAGTGAAGCCAAATAAATAAATAAAAATATTTTAAAAATAAAAGAACATTTGAGTTCAACAACAAAAATAAGAGATTTTTCCTCATTTTTCTGTCTTGATGAACACACTTTGCACTTACATTTTGAAAAAGACTGGGTGTTTAGAGGGACATTTTTCTTTGTGACCAGTATTATTCATGATAATTTAAATGAGCTGATGGATTTACTGTGAGTCTAAGTTTGCACTTTTTAATTCATTAATGGAATTTTTAAGTTAATGGAAAAAGCACTGTCAGAGGGACCAGCAGTATATTTGTGCAATGAACCCTCATCCGAGGTTTAATTTTAATTTAAAAGTCAGTATTTGCAATGATGTTTTGTTCACCACTGAAAGAAACGCTTGAGATTTTGGTATTCACCTTGTCCACTTCCTGTCTGATGTTTTGTTTCCCTTCTGATAGGTTCAGATTTCAAGTCAATAATTAGCCAGCACATAGTTCTAAGGGTATGGTTAGGTCAAACTCCAAACATAACCGAAGTTCAGGCTTATTTATGTTTATGAAATGATAGCCAAGCAAATTTCTCAGGAGGAGAAAAGTTTGTTTTCATAAACAAGTGTTTCACTGTTTCACATTTTGTTCACATTTTGTTCAATGCTGAGTCACCTGTATTTCACATTTGAGAGCCTTTATCTTCTTAATCAGCTCTACAGCTTCGTTCGTCTTTAGTTGTGACTCTTGAAGGCAAAAAAAAAAAAGTGAAGGAAGTGACTGTGTTTCCTGCCAACCCTCCCACCTGTGAAGTAGTCTTCACACTCAGCACTGGCAGGGTCAGTCCAGTCAGATTTACTCTTCATCCTCTCAGATACACGCTGAAGCTACACTGAAGAGTCCTTTCAGTGCTGGCCTGTCTTGGGAGTGTACAAGACAGGTGGAAGGAAAGGCAAGAGGCAAAGATGGAGGAAAATATAGGATGCAAAGGCTACTCACACTCAAAAGTAAAGTCATATGCTTATTTAGTGCAGTACTGGGATTTTGTTAGTGGCTACAAATTTGAGTGTGGTTGGAGAAATGGTTTTATATGCTTTTGTTCACTACAGGGAAAATAGCAGCTTTTAAAGATCAACCATCTCGTTTGTCTTCCATAGCTCTTCTAAATTATGAAAAAACAGCTTTCAGGTAATGATAGAGTCTGAACACATACATTACTTTCTCTGGAAACCCCAGGAAGATGAGAGGAAAGGGGTTGTTAAGATGGCACTAGTGCCCTAGGAAAGGGTAGGGAGAGGCGGACAATTACGACTTCTGTTTTTTTTTTTTTTACAGCAGACTTAGTGAACTGTTCAGCTTTTGAAACCCTGTACCTACATAACATTGACATAAAGAAAAATAATGAAAACACTTAAAAACAAATTCTAAGAAAAGGAAGGGTGTTAATATTAAAAGTCTCATGTTTACTTTGTACATTTTGGTTTCATGTGTCCAGTGGGGCCCCTCCTGTAATGAATGCATTGTGATAACATTTCTCCCCATTTTTTAAAGTTTGAGAAGGTTATGGTTTGTCTTTATGGCATTTTGTGGTTGATACCTGTGATTCATTTTCTGAGTCCT